TTTTACAATTACAACCCACCTGGTCGACGAGGCATAAACAAACACACAAAATAGCTCGATAAGTCGGTAAGGCTCGACTCCTCAAACACCTACATTTTATTATTATTATTATTGTTATTATTATTATTATGAGTTTTGATTAACAGAGAAAGAGCACGACAAATTAAAGCAATTATTAGCATATAAGCAGACAAATCTTTTAAGTAAGAGCACACAATGCAAATAAAATAAACAGTCCACATCACATTGTGCAGTCAAATTAAGCAGATAAATTTCTTGGAGAGATAAGATTTTTTAAAATCAGGACATAACTAAAGGAAAACTACTACACATCTTAGTAATACTTTACATAGAGATGATTTATATAAAGAAAAAAAGATTCAGTAATAGGTTGTATATAAATTAACATCCACTAAGCATAATACTGTAGTCCATGACCAACATCACCCACACTATATTTAACACACCAACAAGCATAACAATTAAACCTGTACATTAAAATACTTTTTAATACAAATATTACGTATATATAATTAGGATCAAAACTATTAAACATCAAACAATAAATATAACATTTTAACATGAACATCATGATAGGCGCATGATTAATCCTGTACAAGCACCTTAAACTCTTTTTCTTTTCCTTAAGCCACAACTCTCAGTTTAACTAAAACTTAGGCAACAACATAACATCAACTTAAGCTCAAAATATATAGCTAAAAATCAACATAACACACAAGAAGTCACAGCGTATAGGCACATCAAATCAAACACTATGTATAACCTTTTTTTTTTCTTGTGTTTTATAAGCCATTCAAATGAGGTCTTTAAACTGGAATTAGAACCTCTTAAATTGCACATTATATCATGCATCGGTCTCAAGATATCTCAAAAAATTAAAGGGGCAACAACGTGGATCAAGTTACACAAACCAATCTTCTTTTCTCAAGCTTAAAACATAAGTCATAAGGCCTTAATATCTGAAATTAAAGGCTCATAAACGTTCAATCTCGGCATTATATTAACCACTCTAATGATCAACAAATAAAAGCAACAAAGTTTGGCATTTATCTCAAGAACATAATCTCAATTCCTCTGAAATCAAGCACATAACATCAAATTAAACACATGAAAACTCTTCAACAATCACAAGGCCACCACACGGCCAAACCGGGTACAAAACATAGCACATCCTTGAAACACATAATGAATATTCACAATCAAAACAAGTTATGAAGGTTCAGTCGTTGTACCTTCTTCGAGACTAAGAACAAGGACGAATAAACGGCTCGGGTCGAGGCTAAAGAACTCGAAGACGGTTCGGCTGGCTATCAGCCCGGTTGGTACTTATTCTGCTCGGTAGCCCGCTGGAACCGGCGAGGCGTTGCAGCGGTGGTTCGCGGCTGCCGAAGTGCGTGCAGGCTGAGAGGCAGTTCAGCGTGGCGCGCATGGATTTCCTCGGCAAGGTGCCAGTTCGCGGTTTCCTCGACGGGGCTCGATATAGGCTCGCGGTGGCTATGTCAAACCTCAGTGGCGGTTTGTGTGATTCCGGCGGGGTGCTATTCGAACAAGGGCGGTCGCCGGTGTGTGGATAGTCGATGGATATCGGATGCACGGTCTCCAGATGAAAATGGTGTCCCTTGGTCGCATCAGCTCTCAGTCACGGTCGCAAGAGGTCTGCTCGTCGCTGGTGGTCTGTCTCGGCTCTCACGGGATCGGTGGCTTGCGAATGGGATCCTCGCCCAGTAATTCCATCGAGACGAGTGAGAAGTAGATTTTTCGAGAGAATGAAGTTTTTCAGATCTGATTTCGGGAGGAGACGTGAGGGGAAAGAAGTGAAATGATAAAATTATTTTTCCCACTTATTTTCAATTAATGAAGGTGATTAATGCCACAATTAAGAGCATCTAATGGCTGATGAGAAGATAAAATGTGTAGAGAGGGCTTACGGTGTGGCTTCAAGACTTACCAAAAATGTTATGTCATTTATTTGAATTTCATATGAAACAAATGAACTAATATATATTTCTAAGGCAAAATGATCACAAGTTCGAGAGCCGATTTAATGGAAAGAAAAAATGCTAAAAGATGTTACGGAAAATGTTATGGA